TTGGCGGCGCTGAAGACCCTCCTAAGAGGTTGGGCGAAGGCGGCCCTGGATGCCGCCAGAAGGAGACGTCAGAGGAAGAACTTGGCCACCGCGAAGGAAGCTCTTCCAGCGGAGTTCGACACGCCGGACGACCGCCAGGAGCCTATGAGGCGGTTCAAGATGGCCAGGATGGCACCTGGGTGTGGCCCGACCGTGTTCTTTGCCGGTCTGCAGCAGTCGCTGGATTTGGCCTTGCCGGGACTGGACCGAGTGTCATGCCAGCATTTGCTGCATGACCAGTTCGTCGAAGGTGTGCAGCCTACGCTTGGTACCCAGATGCGGTTGGCCAGAGCAGCTGGCACCCAACAACCCGCAAACAAACGGCCTCCCTTGACTGGTGACCAAAGGAGTTGAACTTGCCGTTAGTGTTACTACCACATCGTGCTTTGATACAGCTAGCCACAGGCTGGTCCCCGTTCATGCTGACTTATGGTCGATATCCGCGCCTTCCAGTTGGTCAGGAATGTCGGTTGTGGCCGGTAACACAATTGTTTCCGGAGGAGCTAGCAGAGGAAGAAGGAATGCTGGAATGATTGGCGGAATCATAGAAGAAGTGAACTGGGGCCGTGGAAGCTGGGCAGTCGGTGGCAAGGTCCGTTCGTCCTTACCGAACTCCGGGAGAACGTCCATACAGCTCAAGACGGTCAGGGATCTAAAATGGTGAACGGCACTCAATTTCGGAAGTATCATGATACATCCAGAAAGCTACCGAATGGACCAGCTGCTGGAACCAACCCAACGGTGGTAAATGAAAATCGATGGCATACAAGCGACGTTTACAGTGAGAAGATTTGTGACGCGGGTACTACTGATGAGGCATTCGAGTAGTTTATGGGTTTTCTTATAACTCCGCCTGGCGTGTGATGAAAAGTCAAGTTCATCAAGAAACTCGTGGAACTGTTTGCAACGTTCGTTTACAATTGTGTGATAACCTATGAACATCTACAAAAGTTCAAGAGGACGCATGAAAATGTTCAGTTTTTAAAAACTATGAGTATATGAAACTTTTGCCTTCCAGTTCAGTAGTTTGTAACCGTCTAGTTCTGTTCCTTAATATGCGACTTCCCGGAGAAGAGCTTTCCTCCTTTTACTGGTAGGCTTGGTGTGTGTCCACTTGTGCTTGCGTATGTGCTATTCCACCATACATTGAAGTCCGTCAGGCTCTAGAGTAGCTCAGGAGCGAAGAAGCGACAGCGATGAAGGTTCTTCGTTCACACCAAATTTCAGCCCTCTCACGCATAGATCTATCTAGATTTGTTGCTTTTCGCAGTTTCAAAGATTGAATCAAATGTCAAATGCAGGAATATTTCTGTGTGAGTGGGTGAGCCCTACCGCTTTTATCTCAGAGTCTCTACTGATACGGCCTGGTAAAACCCAGAGCAAGTCGCACAGAAATAGCTACGAAACATGCCAGCAGTTTTTAGTGCGTTTTTGCCATTCATCGGAGTGGGTTGCTACGGATGAAGAAGAGAGTAACAACTAATCACACTGCTGTTCATTTGCTCGTGGCCAAACGGTTAAATGTACAAGCACTCGTCGGATGGTTGCTGGTTCGGGATTCTGAGTTTCTTCAAATGTGAAGTGCTGATGGTTCCCAATAAGAATGAAACGGCTGTGCTGTGCTTTATGGATTTTCGGCAAACACTGGCTTCATTGATGCTATCAGACCTCATTTAAACGCTATATATATATACCCTGAGTCTTATCCCGCTTTCTCGATAACTTCTGTTATCACTTTTTATCATTTTTGCAGCAAAATAAGCTTTGTGAATCAGGCAGAAAGCCAGTCCATCTGGCAATGATTTACCGACGCACACAAGCAACGGCTTACTTCTGATCTCTTTTTACAGCATTTCAGTTCGGGAATGAGACACAAGCAGCAACCGTCCGCCTGCTGCTTGATTGAATACTGCTCTGACCGAGGAAGTAGGGAAGACATTCCTGTACCTATCTTGATATTATTTTAGGTGAGTTTCCTCGTTCATCGCTTAATCGAAAGCTTTCTTTTTTGGCCAATGTTATGAACCTTTATTGTCGAGCTTTCTTGGGTGGTTACCGGTTACCTAGAAATTTTCTGTGGTGTTGCGCCTCCCTAATTGCTTAACCTTCCATTTCATACCAGCTATCACCATTTGGACAACCTAACATTTTTCCTGAGCAGCCGTCTGATAACTCATGTTCGTAGCTTCACTCTGGGTCTCCTTCACGCTACTGTTCCACCAGGGGGTTTAGTACATGCTGACGTATGCTGCAGTACAAATATATATTTATTTGCAAAGTTTTGAGCCTTAACAAGGACCTCGTCCTCATTGGAAGTCAAAGGAAGATAGAACAGAAAAGCGTACAGTGGAATTCGATTGGTTTTGCCAGGGGCCTGCATAAGAACAGAGGAGAATGGACGGTTACCTTGGGTAATTCGTTGCAAGGAATTGTTGGAAATACAGATTCTTCTCTACTTGAGCAGTAGTGCTTGAAAATATATCAGCCAACAATCTCGAACATTCAACTACCAGCAAAGGCTCCCATTCCCTTATGTGTTTGCTAGGCGCCTATTCAGAGAAATCTGTTGTTGCTATGACATTAGAATGTCGCTACTAGGGTTCGCGATGTCACACTAATATGGGTGACATGAGAGTAACTCTAACCATTTCAATACTTAGCTGCCATGCCTTTCGAAAGATGCAAGAGGACTAAGATAGTGTCGGGCTACTGAAGCCCAGACTAGAATAGCCGAGATGCCGGGGTTGATTTCGAACCAAGAAACTTTTGGTTATTAATTTCGCCTCTTAACCACCGACTTGTCTCGAGCTCTGGTGCGACAAACTGGCCACAGAACTTTTCGTGGGACCACAAACCAATACATGTGTCTCCCATATGACAGAGGGGAGCGCGTAATGTGTCAAAGTACTGGTGATTTCAGTGAATTTACTGGATTTTCCTCGCGTGGTTTTTCTATCTGTTCAACTAGCGTTGCAACTGGTTTGTCCTGTTCAAACTTTATTGCGGTAATTTTCGCTTTCTTGTTTCCTAGTCAATCAATGAAATTTGTTCTCAACACTTCTGGTTTGTGGCCAGGATAGCTTCTTCTCCCAGGTTCAGTTGCGGTAATAGTTGAGGACCATTTGCTCTCAAGACGGCCCTCCTCTGCGTATTTACTCATGCGATAATTCTATCATTAGTCTTTGGTAATCTGAAGAGATTCGGGTATTTCGCGGGGATATCTTCCTGTAAGTGAAACCAATTTATGCTGAAGACCGAGAAGCACTCTATAGCTGTTTCATCCTTATTGGGAATCATCAGCAGTGCGCATCTCATGAAATCTCCCCACGCTACCAACAATTTGTAAGTAGCACAGTGGAAGAATAAAATTCACCTGATGAGTGAAACTCCCATCTCAAAAGACGTTGCTCGAGGAGCCAGTCCACACGTGTGACAGCGTGATGTGGATTCCGTGACTGAAGGACGAGCGGCGCTACATTTTATCTAAGTGCGAGTTAATCACACTGCTGATCAGCAACTCGTGGCCGAACGGTTAAGTATTCAAACTACTGGCCGGGAGGTCGCGGGTTCGAGACTCCAAAGTTTCGTGAGATGCGCACTGCTGACGACTCTCAATGGAGATGAAACAGTTGTGCAGTGCTTCGTGGGTTTTCAGCATAGATTGGCTTCACTTACAGAATGATATCACAAAAAACTAGTATGATCATCCGCATGCAATTCTGCCTGACCAGCGCCCAAGCGTGTTGGTAGTTCAGCGGGAGTCGTTAGGTAGTGCTGCGTGGAAGACCGCACCTTCGCGGAGAACAGTGAAACCAGTGTAAGTGTTGTCGTATGCAGACTTGTTTGTTGACTAATCTCTCCCATCGACCAATATTTTCGGGCGTAAAGCGCTCGTTGACACTGCGAATTATTGGTAGCTTGTGTATGCTGTATTCGTTAACAGCATGCTGATCGCGTCTATCGTCGACATTTTTCCGCCGCATGTTCCGCTGCAAACGTCATCTGAGGTTCAGTGCATTCAGCTTTGATTATAACGGGATGTGAAATCGTTTAGATGCATTATTTTCGGGAAGGAAACTGCGAACCACCATCATGCACGTCTGTCGGTAGTTTTGAGGGTTTCATTACGAATACAACATGCTTGTTAGCTGTGGTAGCTGGGAATGTGATACAACCATATTTGCTTCATAATATGTGCTGGGCTGCATCGAGTATTGCTTAGACGTGCGTCTTCAAGACGCAAATACAACCCCTCCCCGCCGCAGAACAACATGCGGGTGGAATTGCATTCCCATAAGAAATGCACTAGGGCTCCCAGCAATCTTCACCTTTGGGATACATTATGCGGGGATTAGTTAGGGTGCGACACGTTGTGTATTCTTAGTTGGGTTTTATCGGCACTGGCCTTTCCCAGCGTACCTTGCCACGAATTACTTTCCTGCAGAACGCTGAAAATGGATATTTTGGGCGGGTCACTTGCAACACCCCCCAGACAGCCTCTCAAATAGTGCTTATTGCAACCATCTGGTTAAGTATTGTTTGAGATATCTTTTGTTCCGAACCGCTCAGAGATTGTGAGTTTCATTATTGCATCGCACAAATCCGAGTGCAGCGGTACCGCTTCTCTAAGGACACTCTGGCCTGGTTAACCATATGAAGAAGTTGCCCGCTTCGGTGTAATAATATTTACACGCATTCGTGTTACATACATTCGTGTTACTTTCTTCAAAAAGAAATTTTCTCAAATTGGCTGAGCACTCCAATCTTATTTTGAAGAGTATGTGACATTAGGTTGCCGTCAAAGCACCTCTCTAAGAGTTTACCGTGTAAAGATGCATCTCTCAAACTTCCTTCAATAATAGTAAGCGGAGATTTTAGAGGTCGTACGGAGGGTGAAGTGACTACCACTACAGCTTAAATGTCGTCCAAACTCGATTTGCCTTTCCGGGTGCAAAACATCGAGTTTTACCGAGTGGCGCGTACTCCGGTCGATAATAAGCCGTTTGATTTTGGTAGGTAATGGGATTGGCGTAAGGATGACTCCAGAGAATTATGACTTTTTGACTGACTGTTAGTTTGCTTCCCGCGAGCGTTTCTTCATCAATCGAGGATATATCTTCTGTGCACAAATACTGATCAGATCACGAAAAAAGTTCACACCAACGCGATAGGTACTTCGTAGTCAAATATCAGCTGTACAGCTGAGATACGAAACCTGTAGACGCGAATCTCCTTATAGAGAGGGTTTCCGCCGCGAACAGCCTGAACTAGGGGGGATAATGTTAGCATCCTCGACGACATTCTTAGTCATGATGTGTGTGACTCGGATTCTTACAAAGAAACAAAGTGATTTTTTAGGCATAACTCGAACAATCTCCACAACCAGGCAGTGAAAGCTTACGATCAATAAGGGATAGGAGATGGTCACGATAATACGGACTCGTTAGAGTTACATCTATTCCTGTATCAATGTGTCGCGACTGTCTGTGTGTTGAAAAAACGCAGGTTATTCGTTCTTTGTGTTATCAGAACAGTTTTTCCACCAACTACGTTTTGCGCTGGCGCAGAGAGATATAACGTCGTCATTGACAGCACATCGTGAGTGTTCAACACTATTCAACACTTCGCAGTTTAGCTATAGCCTAGACACAA